CTCTTCACAGATCGCATGTGTGGTGGCCAAACTCATATGGACATTGCAGTTCTTGTGGGAAATTGTACATCTTGTCAAAGTGAGCAGACATCCGCCAAAATAACCCGACAGGAGACATGGTTACGGTCTTAGGGCACTTTCAGTGAATTCACACTGACTGCCAGCTACTCTGCAAGAACGACAATCTTAGGTTTTGTATATGCTTGATTTGGTATTGTATTATCTTTGAGTTTGTAATGAAAGTCATTTCAGAAACTTTTGTGCTAAGCAAAGCAAACAGCCTATACTGAAATTGCTGATTCATTTGTGCATGGTATGTAGGGTTCAAAGGATTCTTAAAACTTAAACTTACGAAAACAATAGATACACAAGGAACAATTACATGTATTCTTAGTAATTGTTAGTAAACTTACCTCTGGATTATGGTTGCCTTAATTCTGTGGTTCCCACAGTCACATACAGAAAATAAAATGAAAAATGAAAACCCTAAGTTATAGCTATCCCTATTGGTATGCTTACTCTCTTAACCCCAAGAGTTACCTCCCATTGACATGACGTCATCCTATTGTCTGTTTGAAAACCTCACAATTTTTTTCCAAATATATAACTTCTAAAGGATAAGGCGGGGAAGGTAGGGCGGGACATAAATCCCATAATCCAGAGGTAAGTTTACTAACAATTACTAACAATACATGTAATTGTTCCTAATTATAGCGTAAACCTTCCCTCTGGATTATGGTTGCCTGAATCCCACATAAGGATGGTGGGCTATCCCTAGAAGTATAAACCTCTACATACCACTGATATATATTCCTGAGAACATCCCAAACCTTCTAGGATAACTATGACTTAGGAATATCTGTACCCTAATAACTCGTAGAGTTGTATTCATTGTGAAGGAAGATCAACCTCAATCATTAGGTGAGCAGTCTCTTTCCTTCTTGACTAAGTATTTACCATCAATAATTCATCCAATATTGGCCTTACAACTTCTTGAAGACCTTCCGGATATCTGACATCATTTACGGTCCAAATCTGGAACCCGCTTCCGGTCTATGACGCCACTTCCGGTTTATGGGTCCCTTCCAGTTCTATGACGTCACTTCCGGTCTATGACGTCACTTCCGGTTTCCTAGTTGACGCCCAAAACCGATAATTCCTTCTCGTGGGCGTGATTCACGGTTCTGAGACACTTCTGGATGATTATTTGACCAAATCTACATAATAGTGGAACGAAAGAAAGAGACTACTCCCTAAATAACTGAACCCAGAATAGTGCTCGGTTAGTTATAAGAAGGGATATACAAATCGTTCCCTACCTGATTCTTCTCATTATTCATCTTCCTTCCTTGATGTGAGTCACACTTGAAGATCGGGTGCCCGACACTTGGTCCCTCAACCCGATAAACTACAGAATCCCCCTCCAAAAAAATAGGGGGCACTAGGCGGAGGAGAGGTGGTGTGCCACTACTAAGGGACCCAGGGACTTAAGGACTTCCAAAGAAGAGGCTACATCTCTTAGATAAAACTTAATAAAAGTATTCTGAGATTTCCACTGACAACTCATGACAACTTTCTCAACTGAAACTGAGCCCCATGCTGCTACTGAAGAAGCTAAAGCCCTAATCTCATGAGGGGAAAACTTAATGGAAACTGTCTTTTGATCCAACCCCTGATAGGCAAAGGCAATAGTCTTTCTGAGCCAGGAAGCAATAGTGTTCTTGGAGATTTCTGAATCTACATTCGACATGGTCGTTTGACCCCTGTCCCGCTTGTGGACTCGTGACGTCATTGTGATTGACTTTTCAATTGAAATTCGCCCGACTTGTTATGGTCTCATGATCCCTCCATTAAAGTTTATGTGTACCTTTGACATTGTTATCGTACTTATCAACTGGGATAATATTTTGACAATGCACAGTTTCTTTATGTGGCTAGTATATATTGCTATGGATTTATTGCTAACTTGCACTTTTGTAACAAAACACCCCCCAGGTTGTGCTCATTCACCTGTGTCCACAATGCAGTGGTACTATCTGACCTGAAAATGGTGGTCATGCCCGTTATTGTCATTGTTAATTGAGTCGGTTGAACATCCCTGTTTAAGTGCATGTCTTTATTTCTCCTGTTACCAGGGCCTCGTAGTGTATCACAAAGCATTCGCTGGGATAAATGTAAGAGCGTGATTTCCCGGCTGTAGAATCTGTATTGTCAGACTAATGACGTCAAGATGAGACCTTCTCGCCGGGGGACGATGTAAAACCACCATTAAATAAGATCGTCAAATTCGGCTGATTGATCTACGTGACAGATTCCAATCCTCGTTGAAAATCAACAGTACATTCAGTAAAGCTACAGGCATACGAGTCTCCAATCGAACTGTGCGGAGGGCTGCTAAGACTGCTGGTCTCAAAGCATGTTGTCCAGTTGTTGGGTGTGAAGATGACAGCCCTGCATAAAGGTCTTTGAATGTCGTGGGGTGCAGCACATCATGGTCGTCAGCTGCGACATTGGCGGTGCACAATATTTAGCAATGAACCTAGCTTTACCTTGAACTTTAATGACGGACGAAGTGTGTCTGGAGACGACGTAATGAGCGTTACGCTGCATGTACTGTAAAACAGCACGGTCGTTATAGGGGTGGCTCTGAGATGGTGTGAGGAGGAATAATGCACGGCGACAGGACTGAGTTCTTACGTGTAGAAGGAAGACTCGCGGGTGTGTGTTGTTGTGATGAAGTGGTGTTGCCCACAGTTGTGCCATTCCAACAACGTGTTGGTTGGAACTTGGAGTTTCAGCAGGATAATGCCTGGCTCCACACAGCTCAAGTTCCAGTTCAATGTCTGAGGAACCACGGCAAGAGAGGATTCTGCGCTGGCCATCTCAACTCAATTGAACACATCTGGGATGTTTTGGGTCGAAGATTGAGAGGCCGTCAAGTACAGCTCCACAATCTCAATCAACTGTATGAGGCTCTCATAGAGGAGCGGTGAGCTATTCCTAGAGCTGTGATAGTAAACTCATCCGGAGTCTACCAAACAGGTGTGCTAAAGTAATCCACAGATACGGAGGACCCATGAGATCCTGACTTCTGAAAATTTCTTGCTCCAAATTTGTGTCACAATGTGGTCATATTCAATACAAGTACATTAAATAAGCTGAGATTAACCATGTATTCCTTTATTCTTTTCCATGAGTATATGAAATTACATTGAAATGTGTATTGAATTGTACTTTTGATACACTTAGAGAGTGTTCAACAAATTTGGAAACAGTTGATGACATTAGGGACACGTGTCCCATAGACATGGAAGTTGTTCCCCAAATTTGAAACCAATCCATCATTATTTGTTGAACAAATTTGCTGTGAGTTCAAAATAAATTAAATATGATAATTGTGGACAAAATTAAAGTATCTGTATCAAACTCTGCTTGGCAACTTTCTTAGAAACCAACCCCACCCCCACCCACCCACACACAAACAAACAAACAAACCCAAAACAAACATCATCCAAATCTGAAAATAATAATAAAAAATGATTCTAAAGTTAATTTTTGAACAAAATTTTCATGGGAACATAAATTGTGATAATTCTTGATGAATTACAAAATATCATCTCTCCTGTATATATTAAAAGTGATCCCCTAATTGGAAAACAATCAATTTTTAACTTCATATCATGTATATTGACAAAGCTCTTGGAAACATTTGCCCTGCACCTCTCTTTTAGACAAAGCAGATTTTTCAAATTTGAAATCTGCTCAGTTGTTTAAATCCACAGAATGGTGTCATATCTACCTAAATACCACTTTGAAACATTTAAGCTGCTATTAACAGCCTCGGCCAAGTCCGACCGAAACTTTTGATGAAGAATATGTTGGGAATGTAGTGGGGAAAGGGCTTAACTTTAATGGATAAGTTGATCTATAACACGATGGAGAGTCATGGCAATAGAATGATGATACTGTTCGCAGAAGTAATTGCATCTGTGAGGTTTAGCTTAATTTTGACAACCCGGGCCAAATTGTACCGACCATTTCAGTCTGAGACAATTCAACATAAAGGTATACAGATTATACAGCATTGTGTTTTCAAAAGAATTCAATTTAGTGGATGTATTGTCAGGAGTATTTTTTGTGTGACATTTTACAGAATAATACATTCAACTCTTTATTGGAATATTTTCCAAGAATATCATTACATTGTGAGTAGACAGACACATTAGTTTTATGGTGAAAAATGTTATCGATACAGATATGTCTATGAAAGCACATTGGTTTATATTTGTAATTTTAGTAACTTGTACAGTGCTGGAAGAGCTTTAACCTGTATTATAACTCCCAAATAAAATAAACATCCAGTGTTGCTTCAAAATTGATTCAATGACGGAATGAGGAAACAACATTAATGAGCGCCAACACTTTAATTAAGAAGTCAAAACACTGTCACTTTCTGCCCCTGATGTCACACCTCATGATCATGAGCTTAGGGCAGTGAGAAACCTTCTCACATAGACATATCAAAGAAAACACATAGCTTCAAGACACTGGCTCATCTATTGGGACACTCATTATGTTGTCATAGATATCACGTTATTACATTGCTAAATATACATTTTGATTCTGATTTGGGCACAAATATGCATATGTGTCTGTCCAGATGGGCATGTTTCGTTTAAATATTCAGTAATTCATTGTTAGGATTACCTGCTAACCTGGATAAATCAGGACAGAACTGTTGAAAATCATTGTCAGTGAGCACATCAGCATTTGCTGCTGAAGATTGCAACAACTGAATGCACAAAGATGCTATTTCACAACACAAGAATTAGGCAGATGCAAATGCCAAAAACACAACATGATGTTGCAAACATCTTTGGAGTCAAGAAAGTGTTATCAGCAGGGCATGGAAAATACCAGATGTTTGCATCAGCTGCCCAGCAACATACAGGTAGTTGACAGTGTTCAACAACACTGTAGATGCAAGAACAAAAAGACACGATACTCACATCAGAGTTTATTACATCTGTGTAAGGTTACAATTTATCAATTCCTCAACACCTGACATCCTTGAAACGTTGACATACACTGATGAACACTTGTCAACGAATCAGGCCACATAAGAATGGATTCACAACTGATGAGCATTGACGAGATCTGATGAGCTCTGATGAAAAAAAACTACAATATAAGCAAAACACAATTCCATAATCTTTGCTCATTAATGCACTTTAAACTGCAATCAGAAAATCACATGGCTTGTGCTGGGCTCATTGCCAGAAAAATAGCAAGCCAATGAAGCATGTAATTGCCACATTTGGAGCTTCTGAAGCAACTGACATGGAATTTCGCTTCATAGACTATCAGTTAAAACATCTGAATAAAATATTTGTTTGTATTTTATGAGCATGTAAAAAAACTGATGATACAACTATTTGGGTTATGTGAGATATTATATGAGGATAAAATACCTTCACCTGAAACAATATTTTAAGTGAAATTGTTTATAATTATAAATACATGTCTACCATACACATTGGTGTAAAGATACCCAACAAACTTGACTGAAGGAAGTTCAGATATACTGAATACCAAAAAACCAACCCTATCATACATAAACTATATAAATGATAAAACCAATTATCTGGAAGCCCATTTCAAGTCCCCAAAACAAGTTCCATTCTAACAGGTAACTGTTAAACCAGACAATAACGTGTAGACTGTTGACTGTTGGACAACCTCATTCCAAAAGTTACATGACCAAAATTAAAGACACTTAAGACATAATTTAAATTTGTCATGAGGTTCAATTGAGGACATGAAAGGACCTATAGTAAATGAAGGTGAAGGTATTTTAATCTCATGTAAGAATGTCCATCTCTGATTGGTTCATGTGACCTTGAACAAATTACCATGTATGCCCGGTTCACGGCTGTACACCGCCTAAGCGGGGTATAAATCTTTGCAAGGGAGAATACTAGTAACTCATTTATACCCCGCTCCATGGAAAAAGCATGCATCCATGGCAGTCAGTGAACCAGTGGTTCGGATCGACTAGTCAGTACTATGTTAGTAGAATATATGATTGAATTTCAGTTTGTTTTGATGTTATATAAACATGATGAGAGATTTAACCTAAATCATGATGCATAAAACCCTCTGGCTCGGAAGATAAAACCTAACACCGAATGCATAAAACCATGTATACCCTGAATCATAATGCTACAACTTATAATAACTCCCTGAATCTATCAATCATGCTAAGCCTCCTTAGAGTTAGATTTTCTTTTTCCAATGACTCAAAACTAGCTAGATGACCATCATACGAACATGTCACAACTTTCATAATATTTTCACTTGAATAAATGAATCCTAGCTCAAGATTGTCCTTCTTATAAAATAATACACGATCTAGAGGTAATTAGGATTCAAGATTCAAACACATTTTAGAAAAAAAGTAGAGTCACAGGTGTATTTCACAACCAACAAAGACATAGTGAACAATAAAATCACCAATGGAAGCATGTAAATTAATATTTCTCTTGACCTAATAAACAGAAACAAAAGGCTGGATCATAAAATATAATTTGATTAAAAACCTTATAAACTTGAATAAAGAATTTTCAAACACAATGAAAACTTGAGTCAGTTTCTGGAGTTAAATGTTTTTTGTGTACAAGGAAATGAACATAATGCACTAGAGAGTTACTGCAGCTCTCATATCATCTTCATTTAGCCGGTATATAAGCCATCCTTCTTTCTTGCTCAAGTTGACAGCTCCCATCTTCTTATAGAAGTTAATTGCTGTTGTATTCCAATCTAAAACAACCCACTGCATGCGCTTGCACCCCTTTTCCAAGGCAACCTGAAAGTTGAGAGATTATTTATCAAATTCAAGTGAACTGACTTTTTATTTTGGACTTTGAATTTACATTTAGGTAAGTTATGGTGCAAGCAAAATCTGATGTAGAATGTTAGACAATGACAAGAAGTAGACAGCCACGTTCTTACTCTTGGATAGTTAAAAGATGAAAAGTTGAAAATGCATTACATTTTCACTCAGACTCAGGAGTTAAAAACCTTCTGAAGAAACATTTTTCAGAACAGTGTTACTTCTCAATATTATGAACACAAGGGTGTAAACAGCATTGTAAATTGCTGACAGGCATGCAACCTACACTGTTCCATGATCTGTTTTGGCAATCATGGTTTGTGTATTGACTGAATTCTTACATTGAGCCATGCAATATAATCAGAGTAGCTAGTGTTTAAAAGTAACTGAAAAGCACTTGAATTACATGCAGAAACAGAGGCAGGTCATCCCCATTCCTTTCTGAAACCTTAAATCTGTCTCCCTTGCTTCCTCAATAACAATGTTATAAACACTTCCCTTATTGATGAAATCACTTCAGCTTGAAAACAATACAACTTTGAAAGAGATTCCTATACCCATCACTACCTAACAACAACACCCGTGCAGATCTGGTCATCGGCAAACCCATTCACAGGACCAAAAGCCGGATAGTAAACCATTGAAATAAACGTAAATACAGTAGGAAATACATGCCATGACCGGATTTACGTATGTTTTCAGATATTTCCTAACTTCGGGCATATATTTCATATGAATCTACACCTTTGAAATATATGCTCATCGTACATTGTTATATGCACAAGTACCTCATTCATGTAAGCCATGACCGGATTGTCAAGTATTTCCAAACATGAATTGCAAAACAGATACCCTAGTAGTATATACACTGGGGGTACGAGATCAAGTCCAACAAAAGCCTCTGTAAAGCTTCATTTATGAAATAAAGCTTTTGTCAGGCCCTTATCTCTCTCCGCTAGTGTGTATACCACTGTTTGATTCCCCAGTTAACTTCCTGGTCACTATGATGAACCAACACTTTCCTGATCACGTGATGGTATTGTCGCCCTATGTCGTGTTGACCTCGAGGAAACAGTTTAATACAGGATACTATTGGGATTACTCGACAAGGTAAGTGTTAAATATTTTGCTTGGGGGGTAACATTGTGCCGTATGGTATGATCAATAATTCCTCTCTGACGAAACCTCTCTCTGGCCCATCTTTCAAGTAGTACAAGTTCGGCTCGTCGGCTTTGATGTCCACTTTATCTATGTTGTAAGTTTTGACTGGCCATGTCGGGTCGGTGGCTCGTTTCCGAGTGTCCCCTTCATGTTCTCCCGGCCGGTAGAGGTACCTCACGAGGACCCGGTCGGGTATCTGTTTCTCCTTCCAACGCGATGGTGCAGCCGGTTCGACCGTCACTGATTTCAGTTTGATAGCGTCGGCCGGTTTCTTGCCAGTGAGCCGAGTGATTTCATGGTTGATAGCCGACACCACTTGGGGTAGCCGCGCTACCCATTCCGTCGATCGTTTTCCTGGGTTGGCCATCTCTCTCGCATACTGGTGCCCGAATAAGCGCTCGGCCAAAGTCCTGTTGAATCTCTCGACTATGGCTTGACTGCGATGAGCCCCGGCCGCACCACACCCCGCCTGGACGCCGTGCTTAGTTAGCAGTTGTGACACGGCACCAATGAACTCCCGTCCAGGATCGACTTGCAGCTCTGTGGGCCATGTCAGCGGGCTGCGCTTGTATATGCGTTTGAATCCGCAGGCTACCTGGACCGAGTCTTTCGCGGTTAAGGGTTTGGCTTCTATGTAGCGGCTGGCCACGTCAACGACGGTCAGGGCATACTTGTACCTCTTGTCGTGGGGTAGGAACAGTAGGTTGGCCTGGTGGACGCTATTGGGCACGGCAATACCAAACTTTCTTCTAGGCACGTAGCGTGGTGCCGGTAAATAGATCTGCCACAGGGCTTGTTTTTCAAGCCATGCTTTGGCCTCGCCCGGGGATACTCTCGCCATTTTGGCAAGCTTATGTATGGCGCTCGCTCCTTTCCAGTACCACCGCGGGCTGTAGTAAATAGCCTCAAACTTTCTCTGGTTCCGTGACATCGTATACATACGGCTATGTCTTTGGTTCAATTTTCTCATGCCCGTACGCGTACGTGTTGATTCCATCGGCGGTTATCCAACGCTTCGTGTCCATCGATGACAGGGACGTCTTGTTTATCGTCAGTCCGTATATCTTGTGTCCTTCGCTTCTCAGCGTGTTCATCTGGTGCTTCAAGGTGCGGTCCCTGAACAGGGCCACCTTGAACCTGGCGTGTTTGATGTGTTGTTTCACCACGTACTTCTTGACATGCTTCGCTTTCTGGATCTCGCTATTGTCGGCTTTCAGGATGGAGTACATCTTGGGCCTCAAGCCTATGTACTCCGCTATGGGTGTGCCAGCACACTCGTCCTTCATCTTACCGAGGACCTTTTTGTTAACCGTGCTGTGCATGGCATGGTCCTTGGGGTAGTCACTGGTGTCGTACCTGTGCATGTGTTTCTTCATGTCCTCGTACACGTCTTCAGTTCGAATCTCCATCAGCAGGGAGTCCATGTCCGTGTACAGCACTTCGCATCTGTCGCCGTACTGCTTCTTGAGCTCGTTGTAGTAGAAGTCGTACATCAGGTGCTTGGAGAGGTCGAGGATGCTCATCCCAATGTAGACGGGCCGGTTGAACTTGATGTGGCTCTTCCTCATGTGTAGGGCCACCAGATCGTCGGTGAATATCTTGCTCCGGTTGAATGCCGGGCTGGCTATCAGTCTCCTGAGCTTGTCTTCCTCTTTAGACCAGACCAGCTTCAAGGTCACACGTTTTCGCAAATTCTCCATCGTCTTACCAAACACCGAGTTGTTCATCAGCTTATAGAGGTTCTTCTCGAAGTCACTGGTGGCCAGCTTTCGCAGGTCCGTGTTCATTCTGATGTAGGGCTCCATCCACGGGCTCTGGTCGAACTTGAGCACCCTATGGGTTTTAGTCAGCCTCATACCCAGCGACAGGTACAGCTGCAGGTTACGATAGTGAACGATGTACTTGGTCTTGTTCATCAAGTTGGGTACGAGTTTTTTGACGTTGGCTAGCTTATTACCCCCCACCCTCCGGGTTCACCATCAAACGTTCTGGGGCCAGGGGGTAGCTGTTGTGTGACTTATGTAATGCTGTTGGGTACTCCAAGTCAACTTCGAGTATGTAACCTACCCCGGAATCCGGCGGTATGCCCATGGCGTCTATCTCAGGCACCCACTCGAACCCCCCAGTGGGTAGATACTGGCTCATAGCCTAACCGTACAGGTTGTTGGCATCGAGATACAGGAGAAGATTAATGGGTTTGCTAGCATCGTAGCCCTTCACATACTTATTGTTGGCTCTTGCTTACCGTTTGGCAGCCATGGAAATCCCAACTCGCAATCCTTTCTCGATGAACAGGTGCATGTTGTAATCGGTGAGGAGTTTCAGCTTAACTCCGGTTTTCTTCAGCAAGGCATCCCAAGAGACACCGGGGGCTGGTGTAGTACCATGCGGGGTCGAGTTGATACTGCTTAAAACACGTCTTTCTGAACGTCTCGAACACGTCATCCAGCAAAAGTACGTCCGTTCTCGAGTACAGGTCGTGGTAATCACCCAGGGACTTGCAGCCCAGTTTCTCCCACACATTCTGGGCGTGGTCTTAATCGCCCTCCGTGATGGCCGAGTCGGTCAAGTTGCTGTAAAATTCACTCATGGCTGGTAATCTGGTCTTGGCGAACCTGGCCCAGCTGCTCATGTACTCGTAGGGGTAAACACCCTTCCTCATCAGCAGGGGCCGAGCCTCGGTGTCGGTGTATCGATCAGTGATGGGGAAGGTATCGTTGGCTTTGACCAAACTATCGAGAGACGACAGTAGGAACTGAACTGAGTATATGAACCTCAGGCCGTTCAGGCTGATGGAGATGTATCTCTCCATGTTGTTGGGGATGCACGTCAGGTTGCTGTTGACCCTCGCGATGGCCTGCATTATCAAGTGAGAGTCGTACCCTCTCAAGTTGTGGAAGACTACGGGGATGTTGATTGTTTTGGGGTTGATTCTGAGCTTGAGGTTGCACGTGCTGTGAGCGGCGCCTCTGTACTCCCAGGTGATGTGACAGTGATCTCTCACCGAATCGCCGTTCAGCGGGCCATCGCACACGTGGCAGTGAGTGCTGCAGCCGTGAGCTCTCCGGTCGGTTTGGGTCATACGCACGACGGTGTACAACCTCTTCCTGATAGTTTTCTCTTCGTGCTGCAAGCACTTTAGAAACTTTTCAGCAGCGTCGGGACCCCTGTACACCACGGGAGCGTTCATTTCCCCATCACATCGGACGACCTCGTATCCGAACCCACAGGCCCCGTGCTCCTGCGTTTTGTACCTGTTGGGAGCCGGGCCGATGTCAACAGGTTTGACGAGGGCTTCGAAGTCTGCGTAGATGATGTAAGGTACGGACATCTGGTCCTTGTGGTTGTCAAATTTTAGGATATTGTCGCCTTCCCTGGGCATGTCGATTCGTATGGCGCTCTGCCCCACGCCTAGGCAATCCTCCTGGTGTGATTCCAGCAGGTCGGGTCGGGTGAAGCCGTGCAGGCACCGTTCGCAGAAGTGTTTTATCCATGCTTAGTGGTACTTGTCACCTCGCTGGATCATGAACATATTGATCACGCGGCGACCCTCCATTGGGCTGATCCTGTGCACGATCGTTTTGTTGCCTTCGTGCCCAAAGACGTTGATGCCTATGGCATTCTGCTTCTCGATTTTGCTGATCTGAGATATGTGGACGGGTTCGTCTATACCGTCCCAGTTGAGCCCGTCGTCTTGGGGATAGCTCGTAGGTCTGTTTGAATTAACATCGGTCGGAAACAAGGCTGACCTGATCGCTAACCTCATGCAATCCATCCCTCTGTTTTTGATGTTGACCATGGCTTGTTTCTTC